GATTCAGCTTGCATCCAGGATGATCGGCATCGAAGTAGGCAATCAACTCATAACGTGTTTCCTTAGGGTACCTCAAGCCAAGATCAACAGTACCTTTAAGATAACGTAAAATACGTTTGACAATAAGTAAATGGGATTCTTTAGGCTTAGATTGAGATCGAGCATAGAAACATGTTGAAAACATAATGTCTGGTCTACTAGCAGTTAAATATATTAAAGAGTCTATGATCCTCTATAGATTGTCGTCTCGACATCTTTTCCGTTAGGATCATAGTCGAGCTTAGAACCGGGTGTCATCGGAGTTTTCATTTAAGCACAATTATTCACCTTAAATTTCCTTAGCATTTCTTGAATATACTTAGATTGATTTATAAAAATGCCATTATAAAATTGTTTTATTTGAAGTCTAAGGAAGAAGTTAAATTCTCCCATCATGCTCATTTCAAAGCGTGACACCATAAGGCCTGAAAAGTTCTTACAATATTCTTGGTAGGTAGAATAAAAAATTATGTTGTCGAAATATATATGTATCAAGATTATGTTCGTACCTTCCTTTTTGATGAACAAAGTTGTGTTGATCTGACCTTTGGAAAAACTAGCGTTGACGAGAAAACCAGATAGAATGTCGTACCATGCATGTGGAGTTAGCTTTAGACCGTAGAGAGCTTTATCCAGGATGAAAAAATGGTCCAGTTTTGAGGCGTTCACAAATCCTTCACGTTGCGAGACATATACTTCTTCTTTCAACACTTCATTGAGGAAGGCGGTTTTCACGTCCATTTGATAGACTGTGAAGTTCTTATGGGCCGCATATGCCAAGAACTTTTGGATTGCTTCAATCCTTGCTACCGGTGCAAAAGTCTCGGCATAGTCTACTCCTTACTGATTGTATCCCTTCGTCACCAGTCTTGCCTTGTTTCGAATGAAGACGCCATCTTTATCCTTCTTGTTTTTGAAAACCCATTTGGTACCGATGATTGACTTGCCTTTCGGATGTGGTACGAGTCTCCAGACATTTAAGCGTTCAAACTGGTTCAACTTCTCTTGCATTACAACGATCCAGTCTGGGTCTTCAAGAGCTTCGGAGACCTTAGAAGGTTCTGTCTTGCTCAGGAAGATTGTGAATAAGCATTCATTCCCAAATGCAGATCATGTTCTCACATTGGATTTTGGATTTCCTATGATCTGTTGAGTAGGATGATCTTTGGCCCATTTAATTATGTGGGGCAGAGGTTAAACCGTCGTTTGATCAGCGTCTGGGCCTATGTATGAACTCTAAGGCAGATCTTGTACCATTTCGAGAGTTGGAGCAGTCTCTTTATTGGAAGTAATTTGGTGTTCTTAAGAAAGATCGGTGACAGAAACAGAGACTTGAGATTGTTCAGATGAGGTCGGGGTCTCTTCTATCACTTAGGGAGTATCATTGTTGGTTGATTTAGTGTTCTGAGTTGTGTTGGTTATATCATTTGATATAGAAGCTTCAGAAGGCGAGTCTAATTCCTCCATAATGACAACTTGAACACTGATTGGAACAGGAAGAATTTCATTAGTTGTAGTTGTTCCAAAATACTCATTGTGAAAATTTTCAAAGTATTAAAATCCAAGTCATTAGTATGAGAGTTAGAAGTCTCATTTGGATTTTGTTGATTTACTTCTCGGACTCCTGAAAGCACGGGTTCTGAACTGATGTGTTCAAAACCCATATCCTCTAATTCGTCAAATGAAACGTTCACACTTTCATTGACTATCTTTTTTCCGTTTGTTGTTGACATGGTATGTTGCATACTCCTTGGAGTAATCGATGAAGATTGCTTCGTTCGCTTTGGGGCTGAACTTCCCACAATCATCTTTGTCATTTAAGATATATCACCTACAACCAAAAACTCGAAAGAACTTGATAAAAGGTACACGATTATTAATGATTGCGTAGGGAGTTCTACCAACTATTTGTTGACGATGGATCGATTCTGCGTGAAACAGGCAATGTCGACCGCTTCTGCCTAGAGGTAGAGTGGTAGTTTTGAGTAGACGAGCATGGTGCATGCCACTTCTACCAAAGTACGATTCCTCCTCTCTACCATTCCATTTTGCTGTGGAGTTAGGGGTACTGACAAGGTATGAGAAATCCCAACAGACTCTAGATAGTTGTCCAATGTACTGTTTTTGAATTCTAAACTGTTGTCAGTTTAGATCGATTGCACGCTCTACTGTAGGTTCACTTGTACACTTTTGATGAAAGAGACAATGAGCTCAGGGACTTTGTCCTTAGTTCTCAAGAACTTGACCCAAGTGTCTCATGAGTAGTCGTCCACCATCACCAACATGTATTTCTTCCCATTGATGTTTCGCGTCATCATAGGACCACACAGATCCATATGAATCAGCTGCAACGGTCTTGAATTTTTATGCTTTGCAATGGACTTGTGAGAAGCTCTTTCCATCTTCCCCATCTAGCAAGTAGCACACAAGTATTCTTTCTAAAATTTCAGCTCAGGTAAGCCCTTTACCAACCCTCCCGTCACCAATTTGTGGAGATTTGCAAATTTTAAATAGAAGAGTCGTTTGTGCCAAAAGAAGTATTATTGCTCAGAGGCTTTGGACAGAAGACAAACAACAGAGTTGACTTTGATGTTAGACAGATCTATCGTTTAAAGATTCGATCGTCTATTGCCAGCTAATAGTTCACCTCATTTTGTTGTTCGGACACTATAGTGATTGGCCTTAAAGTGAACCTCAAGGTTCTTCTCGCAGAATTAACCAATGCTGAAGAGGTTGTGTCCGAGACCTTCTACGTAAGACACCTTCTTGATAGTAAGATTTCCTTGCATGATGTATCCGTAACCTGATCAGTGAGAACTAATCATTTCCAAACTATACTGTCCCTCCATACTTCTCCACAAAATTTGATAGTATCTCTTTTCTTCCGATCATGTGCTTTGAACAACCTGAGTGGAGATACCACACATGACCATTCTGCAAAATAAATTAAGTGGATTTAGGTACCATTTAAAGATGGGTCATTTCTTGTTAGGCTTAGGGGTCAGGGTTTAGGTTTCCACACTTTTGGTTTAGGCTTTTTATAACTAGAAACATGATATGTGCCAAACCAATCACAATCATAATTAATGTCAATAGAATCATTCAATCCACATGTAGAACAACAAATCTTGTTACGAGACAAATTGATTAAATGCTTCACTGAATAAACTTTTTGTGGAAAATAAATGTTTTGATCAAAAGCATTACAATCGTCTACATAATTTAAATTGTTCTTTCTAGCAATGAAACAGAATTAAATGATTTTTCTCTCTCTTTTTCTTCCTGAGAATTCTTCACCCTCCATACTTGTTTCACAGATTTTCCATTATGCACAGAATCTGAGACATCAGAATAGCCAGAATCAGAAGATTTAAACTTAGAAGTATGTTTGGTAGGAGGTTTTCCAATTCTTCTCTGCTTCTGAGAATTCTTTCTAGATTTTCCTTTAGAATAGTAGGTGTTCTCAAGAATAGATTTAGGTCTTTTTCTTTTATAAAGTGGAACTGGAACTTCCTTTTCTTTTCCTTTTAACTTCTTTATGTCAACATAAATCTTTTCTTTAGCAGTGAAGTCAAACTTGTCAATCTCTTCGTTTGAACACTCATCGGAATTCATATAGGCAGAGAAATCCATTTCATCAAATGTTTTCACTCTATCATCAAAAAAAGGTTGAGCTAGAAGTAGATGGTATATCAGGATTAGACTGTTGAAATGTATGTCCAACAAAAGCTTTGTAAGATTTATTTGAATCAGAAGAAGAAAAAACATTTTGAGAGTCTTGAACATGTTTTCCTTTAGAAGCCTTTGAAACAGACAGTTCAAGATCTTTAATCTATAAAAGAATTTTGATCATGTTCTTCTTCAAATACTTTTGTTATTTCGGATTTCTTCAAGAAAAGGTGGAACATACACTTTTGGTTCAAAATCATTGTCTGTATGTTTCGGTTCACTTTGGAAAAGTTCTTCCTTAGTGTAGCTTCTAAAGTATCATCTGACAGAGGTGGTCTGACATATGGATATGACTCATTTAGTCTAGCATACACGAAGGGAAGTTGCATTTTGTCAAGTCTTTTCCTGTTGGCATCTTCTTTTGCCTCAACTTCAGAAGATGATGGAGTGAAATTCATTCGATATTTAGGATCCAGTTTCATGTAAAGATAACTATACAATGTAGGAACTTATGAAATTGCCTTTTCCAAGTAGCTCGACTTTTCAAACCCTAAACCATCTTTGGGTTGATAAAATAAGAATTCATTTGGTTTGTTCATTAAAAATGTTTGATCTATTTGACCTCTTTTCGCAAATCTTTCTTCAAGATTCTAAATTTTAGAAATCAAATTAGAATTTTCAGAACATACCTTTTCGTACATTAAAGCATACCCATTCGTCTCTCTCTTCGAGAGAATCAACTTATATGATAACTTAGATATCTGTTCAGACAGGGTCTTAGAAACATTGTCTTTATTGTTGAGAAATCTCTCATTTTCTTCTTTTAAAGATTTAATTAATTGAAGATTTTCAGCCTTTTCACATGAGAGAGTGATTATTAGCTCATGATTTTGTTTGCAATTGGTTTCCGAAGAGGCACTCTGTTTCTTTTCTTTTTGGAGCTTGCCTTCAAAAACAGTTATTTTGTTCATTAAGTTCATAAGCTTTTCATCAAATAGAGACATAGAATGTACCTCAGAAGAATCGGAGTTACAAGATCCAACGCCATCATCATCGAAACTCTAAGCGTTAGAGTCATTGGCCATGAAGCAGATATGCGCGTCTGCTTCATCATCATCATCGCTCTTTGAAATTTACAGCCAATGATATCTTCATCCATTAGAGATTTCCTCGATTTTTTTTTTATTGGCCAGGAGCATCTTGTTCTTGCAGTAGTTGGATTCTTTGATGACCGGCTTCCTACACGCTTTAGCATAATGTCCGGTCCTTCCACAGTTATAACACTTCTGAGATTACTCCGTCTTCAATTCAATCATCCTCTTCTTGTACTCAGGTTTCCTTGAGCTTGAATTAGGTCTCCTTGAACTTGACAAAGTCCTTAGATTGTTAGACGAAGGCTTCTTGTAGAATTTCTTCTCGAAAGTCTTTGTCAGAAGAAGCATAGCTTGTTTGATGTCGTTCAAGTCGGAGTCAGAACCACTATCCTCTTTGTCAGTGTTGGACTCTTCACTATCTTCTTTCAAACTTCTACAAGCATACCTCTTGCCCTTTTCAGCAGCAACAAGAGCTAGGGATCCACCGATCACTTCTCGCTCTTCCTCTTGCCTTCCATTTTCCCCAAAACATGTTCCTCATTCTGCAACAATGTCTCGTAAACAACATGAATGTTCATTCTGATAGAGACTTGCTCTGGCTAATCTAAGAAGCAAATCTCTTCTATTCAGGTTGAAGATTGCTCAGAAACTTGATGTTGTTCTCTATCAGAGTCTTCTCTATCCCGTTCTTTCTAAGCTCATTCAATAGATTGCAAAACCTCTCGTAGACAGAGTCAAGCATCTCACATTCTCTTTGCCTGAAGTTTTAGAAGCTCTTGAGACAGTTAGTAACTTTGATTTGAGCATCGATACCGCTCCCCATCATCTATTTCTCGATCTGGTCCCAAATGGTCTTCCCACTTTGTTTATGATTATCTATACTGGTATAGATATCGTTTGGTAGACCTTGCAGAATGTAGGACCTTATCATCCTATCAGCATCAACTCGCGCCATTTCCATCTCTGTCATGGAAGCATACACTCTGGGCACTTGTTGTTGAACAAGAAAGGCGGATTGGCATTTGAAGTAGCCAGTATGATATCCATGAAGATGGCTGGTCCATCTCTCAAGGATTCTCTCATCATAGGACTAAGTCTTTGTTTGTCAATAAAGTCAAAGAATATGTCCTTCCATTAAGGATAATCTCCTCTGAATAGGACAGGAGGTTTGTGTCCGAACCGATAGTCATTGCCTCTCGAGATGACATTGTTCTTAAAAATCAATTGATCATAGATAAAATGGTTGAAATACTCAGAAAAATAACTTACAAACCATAAACTGATAATTTTTGTCGCCCCTAACTGTTTGTCGCACCCCACTTGTGGAACTTGTCGCACCCCAAAACTTGTCGCACCCTTCTCCTCTCGCACCTTAAACTTGTCACACCCACCTTGTCGCACACAACTTTGTCGGGTCAAACTTGTCGGATCCAAACTTGTCACATAGAACATGGTGTGAACAGTAACTTATCGCATATAAACAATACGATAACGATAGTTTGTCGGGTCAAATTGATGCGATGAAAGGATTTTGTCGGGTCTAACTAGTGTGATAAGATAATGTTGTCGGGTCAAACTAATGCAATAACAGGAAGTTGTCGCATTAAAGTGATGTGATAAAACTTAGTTATCGCACACAACTATGCAATCACAAAGAATGATAAGGATGCGATAACTTGGCAGTTCTTAAGGTGTTTGGCAGCTTTCAAAATTTTACAGAAATACAGTCCAGAACCTTTCAGTTAAGGATATATAGGCTCGAAAATCAAATCCTTACAACTTTACTCTCGAGATACAAACCAGGACTGAATAAAAACCAATAAAACAGTGAATTGAAACTCATAGACGTGGTTTTCCAAGAAATGAGATTGAGTCTTCTTCCAATGTTGATCTTCTACTCTGATACTAATTGTTGTTTTCCCAGATAATTAGAAGAAACAATGAAATAAGATTAACACAATGGAAATAGCAAATCAGTCGATTTATCTATTGATTCAAACGTGGAATACAAAATATAATGTTTTTTATTTGACGGCTGCTTCTCTAAAGCTGATATTACAAAATAATGAGTTAGCCTACTCTAGAGCTAGGAAGCTATATATATATATATATATATATATATATATTGGTTTTACATAAAAAGTCCCTCTACTTTATTACAAACAAAAATATAAACCTAACACCAAACATTCTAGATTTTTTACACATGAAAACTTTAAGATTGTGCTACATCTTAAAAAAAATTCCAATGTCGAAACACACAATTTCAATGTTGAAGTATTTGAAATATCATAATTCACTCAAACAACATAGATTGAAATATTTTGGAATCTACATTTATCAAATAATAAGAGGGAACAAGTATACGGAAAAGGGAACCATCCTAAACACAAGAATCTAGGTTTAAAAGTCAATTTCATATCAGTCACCAACAACACAGCTTACAAAATTACAACACTGGCAATAAGAAACCCAGACACAAATTTCCAATTTAACCTTCTGAAACATGATTTGAAAAGGAACCATGTGAATCAAAATTTTATGAAATGTAATTGTGGCATACTCATACATATATACAACTTTATTTGCAATCTGATGCCCCAACTTTACAAGAATTTAAACCAGAAACATGCCTAATGCAGAGGAATTGTAGGGTGTGAAGCGATGGGAGGTGGTAACCATAAGGGAAAAGGCGACACTTGACGTTCATAGATCGGGGATTGGAATTTTTGGGAATTAAAAGTTTTAAAAGACAAATATTTATTTTCCATCTCTTTTAATATCTCTATCTTCCATATCATTCTTTATTTTCATGTCATGTTGGTTAACTAGTTATTTGATGAATCGGTAATTTGGGTACCTAAACATTTGAAACATTACATTTTAGTTATCAAAATAAAGATTTTAAAAGTACAATACTTAAAATAGGGATTAAACAAAAGTTAGTTACATTTTCTTGCAATTTGCTTTAGTTAACTTTTATAAATAACAAGTAATAATAATTAATTTTTATAACTAATAAGTAATAATAACTATTGTGTCCTAAATGAAAGCAAACAAAGGTTGAAGTTTCGAACATAACATAAGAATCAAAAGTGTAATTTCACTCTTTGTTATTTATATAAATATTTCATATTCTTATATATCGTACGTTATTTTGATATTTTACTAATAATAAATATAAGAGTAAATTGCAATTTTGGTTCATGTGTTTTGTTATAAGAATTAATTGATTTATAAATCACTAATCTATTGAAAAGTAATTAATAATTAATATTATTTAAGAAATAAGAATTAATATTAATTAATAGTTTATAGTTAATAAGTAACAATTTAATTATAATTTATAATTAATTAATGTTTAATAATAATTAATAATTTAACTGTTGATTAATTCATAATTAAAAAAGCAATACTAAAGAAGAAAATGATAGAAAATTCTCGTACTGTATTGAAACACTACTCCAAGAAACATTTCAATAAACTAGCTTATGACTAACTAATCGGAACTTTTCCAGAAAAGCTAAAGACTGCCTTAGTAAACAATATTGATTAACTTTAAAGATGTTCAAAATGTTACGAGAAAAAAAATCTATATTTGATACCAACTTAGGTGAATTAAATACCTATATGCATACTAATTTATTGTCTTTCCAATTGTTCAAGATTTCGAAAGTATATTCATCGTCGTGTTGGCAACAAAAAAGAACCACAATTTCTGGTTTTGTCACCAGTAATATACTAACGATCCAAGCTAGTATCATAACTAGGGTGCTCAAAAACCCGTCTAACCCAACTAATTCAGCCAACCAAAAAACCCAAAGCTAAATAACTTAACCCAAAATAATCTGATGTCTAATTGAGTTGTAAAATTTTAAAATCCAACCTGATGAACTCGATATCCTTTTATTTTTTGAATTTAGTATATTTGTAATGTCCATATTAATAATATGTACATTAGACAATTACACCATCACGTACTCTCTTCACATACAAATATTTTCAATATCCTCTCCATTTTTATATAACTCCTTCATACATATGTTCAGTAAATGTGAGCAGGCTCTTAGCTGCTCGTTGGTAGAAAACAACCCATATGATATTGAGCTTGAACATTCGAAGAATGAGCCGGAGATTCTCTTATGTGATAGCACCTGCTTGAGTAAGAGGGTTTTCATGCATATATATGCAAATTGAGAAAAGTGGTCGAATGTGATATGCTTAAGATTTAAGGAATATGGATAAGCTATATGAAATGATTCATGATGAAAAAGGAATTTTAAGTAGAGAAAACAACATATTCAAGGTTAGAAGAATATTTTGATATACCAAAGTATCAACTCGACCACCCCGTACGGTTTGGGTTGGGTTCGTTGCACTTTTGTTTGGGTCGAAAATTTTCAAACTGCAAATATTGGGCTAAGCTGTTTAAATATTTCAAGTCCGATCAACTCAACTGATAAGCACCTCTAATCATAACTTGGGAATCCATTTTTTTCTTTTAGTGGCAAAGAAGAACGAAAAGAAGTGAGAGGCCGGGGGCAGGGAAAAGAGTCGAGTCGATCACTTATTGAAAAGTCAAGGATATCAAATGATCATGCTAATAACTCGCTATAAGGGGTAGAAAGCCTGTTCTTTTGGTATGGCTTTGGGATCGACCCCGATAACAAAAAAGGAATCCAATTATTCACTACTTGTACAAGAAGGAGTCTCTTTCGGTTTGAGGGGGAATCAATTTCATTTTCCGAAGCCCGTCCATTCCTTTCAAGCGCCCTTAGACTCGTTACGTTGTTCCACTGACCGGTTGATGGAAATGGACTGACTACCGRGGATATTCGTGTTACTTCGTCTGCACTGGTTTGTACACGAATGCGCGAGTTATACCGAGTACTCAGTAAATTGTAGACCACTTCAAATCTTAGTTTTGAAAAAAGGCTTTCTTTTAGGCGCTTCCTCTCCTTTCAATCGAGCTAGGCTGGGGGAGGATGAGATATTTTGGCGGGTTAGTGGGGGTCCTTGGCTAAGATGGAGCTACAGTTTAGATTATCGTAGAAAGAATAATTATTTGACGAAGAGTGTAATAAACAAACAAAAAAGAAAATAAACAATGGTTGGTAACTGTAAGGGTTAAAACATAGGTTAAAGGGTGTCCTATGAAAGTCAAGCAACCAAAGTAACCATCGGCCATTTATGTTGGGATGATTCAAATGCTTTGAAACCATCGATCGAAGAGTATAAAAGTGATGGTGCATGGTAACCTTGCGAAAAAAAATCAATCAACAAGGGGAACTAGTGGACGCTAGAGAGGAAGACGAATGTTCGCTACAATTCGTCTAATTTGACACTAATCAGTAAGACACTCATATCTCTTGTCTCCCTGTTGTTCGATCATCCGAGTTGTTTTCTGTAGGGCTACGGTGGCAAATGGTCATCGCTCACCTCTAACGTTCGTCAAAACGGTAATTCCCGTCACATCGGATTGTCTAACCATGACCCTCATTACGGTTCTGA